CAAATTAGTAGGAAACTGGCATTATAAATTAAGCCCTCTTGTAGCTTTGGCTATTCTATTAATACTAATACAGGTGTTTTAATTTATAATAAGGAAATACTTCAAATACATTGTAGAACCTTCTACTACACTCAATTTGAACTTTCTGTAAACTTCAAAACTACCGGTATCTTTACATCTCACTTATAAACATTTGAGTGAATTTGAATTGAAATCCTAGACTTTTTTAGTTAAAAAAACAAAAAACTTCTAAAAAAACAAGATACTCTATACTGGTACTACTCAAAAAAAATGTTTTCCATTTCTATTAAGGTGAAAATAAGTGCCCAGGTTGGGCCTGATCTAAAAGGTTATCGGTACGGTATGTTTTAATTACCTGGTAGCACTTAGATTAAGATAGGGACCCTAAAATAATTCATCAAATAGACCAGTTTAAAATTTTTTAAGATGTCTGATAAAAATCTGTTGAAAACTAACATTTGTGTACCCGGTATAAGTAAGCAATAAATCATTAATGAAATTCGTCTCCATGACCCCAACAGTGATGAATATGAGTTGAAACTCTCCAGCCAGCTTTTAAATATTATATTAAGAGCATTTGTACCAAGTTTTTTCTCAAACTATCTATTAATTTTATTTATATAGCCCATATATTTAAAAAAACGTTATACCGTACCCCCAAAACTTGAAAAGGATATTTAAAAAACTAAATGAGAGACAGCAGAAGTGTAAATGAGCATTCTATGAAGTACTGGGTACCCATACATAAATGATGTAGGCTAATGATTGTAAAAGTTTTATTAATTTTTTTAAAACATATTTTCTGCACAGTTGCATTTAATCTTGACAGTTCCATAAATACATTTAAAATTTTGATATCACTCCTAAAAAGTAAGATTTGAAGACAGCGATGAGGCCATGACAGGCAGTTCCCGCTCATACTAGCGAGAAGCCAGAAAAGGAACTGCTCATTCCTGCCAAAGACAACCAGGGACTGGAACAAGCTTTCAAAAGGAACAGTTGAGGCGACAACACTTGACACATTTGCGTCTATTACCTCAGGCCTTCCAACCCCCAGTACATGACACCCTCACAAAGTAGCCCTTGCAACCAGTGAAATATCATCAACACCAGGCACAGAAACATTGCAAATCCCCTCTACATGCATAGTAGCCAAAATGATCAATGAAGAAGGGTGGGGGGAAAAGAAAAAATATCAGTAAGAAAACAACAGGTGGCCAGGACTGCTATTTAAGCTTATTCCAAACTCAATTGCCATTGGTAGAAATACATATGACTTCCTTAAGTTGTTTACAATGCAACAACCTCATCATTTGACTATTCTATTAACTGGATTGGTTTCCTATTGGCAGCCAATCATAACACCCCCTCATCCTACTGCCTATGTAAAATATGGATGACCACTGGAAATAACATACAAGAACATTTAATAAATACAGGACATCAAATATTATGTAATTACATTTATTGTTGCTAAAAGCCGGCCAAAAGCAAAAACCTTAACGGTAAGATTTCTGGTAACGGGAACGAGCACCTGGACCTCCAAATTTCTTGGGCTCGCAGCGACGTGGATCAGCAACAAGCAGAGACCTGTCGTACTGAATCAGAACATCCTTGATTTCCTTCTTGGATGCTTCATCAACATCTGTCAAACAAATATTCAAATTCATTTATCAATGTCATTTGTGAGTAATAAAAAGTGCATTTGAAAATCTCTACAAATCAGGGCTGTGCTAAGACTAACAAGAAGTATGGGACAAGGGAGAACTATTACAACAGTAAAAACAGTATGGTTACAACTTGATTTTCAAGTGATAAAAGTAAACGCTCTGAACATCTTGCATTGTCACAGTGAATAAATTCAAGATAATATACTATTTCAGTTACAATTAACTGACATTTCAACTACAAAACATTGAGGTAAGTGCCAGTGAAAGCAAATCATCCACTGGGGGTTAATTTGAATAAAGGTGTAGATCATCCTTGTATTGGTCTAGATGGACATTTAATGGTCAAAACAAATATTGCTTACAAGCATGAGTGAGAAAACACATTGTAAAAAATAAAAACTATTTAATTTATGATAAATAT